AGCCGGTTGAGCTATAGGCGCCGAGCCGCTATAAACATTCTTATACTTATCCTTTACCTGTTTTTCCAAAGTGGTTCTATCAATTTATATTTCAACAGGACTATATGAGAGTTCTAGATGCTCCACAGCCTCCCCAATACCAGTCTGCTTTACTTCAGCCATGGTGGCAACTGTGTAATAGTGTTGCCTTGTGGTATTAATTTGTATTTCCCTCCTGAATCATAATGTTAAAGAGGTTTTTGAATATTAGCCTTTTGGAAATCATCTTTGTAGCCTATTCAAGATTTGTGTCCATTATCTATAACAATGTCTTCTTAAAAAGTGATCTGTAGCATCTGGCTCCCGCTCTCACAGCCACTGCAGTACATTGAGCTCCACAGAGACAGCGCCGGAGCAAGCGAGAGCCAGACAGGCACTGGGCGACTCTGCCTTGCTGAGGAAAAATACCTAAACATGGGCAAAGGAGATCCTAAGAAGCCAAGAGGCAAAATGTCATCATCTGCATTCTTTGTGCAAACTTGTCGAGAGGAGCACAAGAAGAAGCACCCAGATGCTTCCGTCAACCTCTCAGAGTTTTCTAAGAAGTGCTCAGAGAGGTGGAAGACCATGTCTGCTAAAGAGAAAGGAAAATCTGAAGATATGGCAAAGGCGGAGAAGGCCCATTATGAAAGAGAAATGAAAACCTATCTCCCTCCTAAAGGGGAAACAAAAAAGAAGTTCAAGGATCCCAATGCACCCAAGAGGTCTCCTTCGGCCTTTTTCTTGTTCTGTTCTGAGTATTGCCCAAAAAATCAAAGGAGAACATCCCGGCCTATCCATTGGTGATGTTGCAAAGAAGCTGGGAGAGATGTGGAATGACACTGCTGCGGGTGACAAGCAGCCTGATGAAAAGAAGGCTGCAAAGCTGAAGGAAAAATACGAAAAGGATATTGCTGCATACTGAGCTACAGGAAAGCCTGATGCAGCGAAAAAGGGAGTTGTCAAGGCTGAAAAAAGCAAGAAAAAGAAGGAAGAGGAGGAAGATGAAGAAGATGAAGATGATGAATAAGTTGGTTCTGGCGCAGTTTTTTTTTTCTTATCTATAAAGCATTTAACCCCCCTGTACACAACTCACTCCTTTTAAAGAAAAAAATTGAAATGTAAGGCTGTGTAAGATTTGTTTTTAAACCGTACAGTGTCTTTTTTTGTATAGTTAACACATTACCGAATGTGTCTTTAGCTAGCCCTGTCCTGGTGGTATTTTCAATAGCCACTAACCTTGCCTGGTACAGTATGGGGGTTGTAAATTGGCATGGAAATTTAAAGCAGGTTCTTGTTGGTGCACAGCACAAATTAGTTATATATGGGGATGGTAGTTTTTTCATCTGCAGTTGTCTCTGATGCAGCTTATACGAAATAATTGTTCTGCTAACTGAATACCATTCTGTAATTGCAAAAAAAAAGTTGCAGCTGTTTTGTTGATATTCTGAATGCTTCTAAGTAAATACAATTTTTTTATTAAAAAAAACTGATTTGTAGTTCTTCATCTATCCCCTATACAAATCCTTTTTCAGATGTATTCTGAATACATCTGAAAGTATATTCTTGAATCCTGTGGGTTGTCTTTTTATTCTCTTAATGGTGACTTTATGTTTTAAATAATTTTATTGAAGTAAAATCTACATGGTCATTGTAGTTTATGAACTAAAGAGTTTTAGTTTTATACAGTTTTAGAAACATTGCCATAATTCAGTATTAGAACTTTTATCACCCCAAAAAGTTCCCCATGCCCGTTAGCATTCAATAACTACTTCTACCCACAGCCCCGATGACTACCAATTTGCTTCCTGCTGTTATAAACAAATCATCTAAAAAATTTTTTAGAGACAGAGTTTGCTCTGGAGTAGAGTGCAATGGTGTGAGAATAGCTTGATGTACCTTCAACTCCTGGGCTCAAGCAACCCTTCTGCCTCAGCCTACGAGTAGCTGGGACTACAGGTAAACACTACCACGGCCAGCTAAATTTTTTTTTAACTTTTTGTAGAGATGGGGGTCTCACTATGTTGTAAAACTCATCTGAGCTCTTAGCCTCAAGCTATCATTGTCCCTAGCCTCTCAAAGCACTAAGATTTATAGGCATGAGCCACTCCATCTGGCCAAGAATTATCATTTTTTAGACAGTTTTCTTCCAATTATAAAATGCATAAGTAATGTAGAAAACTTAATACACAGAGATATGTTCAAACAATAAATATCAGCTTGGTGTAATGTGAGTAATGACTAAGTTCTTAGTTCCAAAAGTAGAACTAAAAGCACATTATTTTCCCCAAATCAATGGGCCTTTTCATAGAGAATTAAGATTTTGACTTAACATATGCTATATATTCCTTATTCCCAAAGTTAGAAAGAGGCTTAGGCCACAGACAGAAAAATTCAGAGTTTCCACCACTTCGAGCAAAGGAGTATGCTGACTAATGACATAATGGTGGCTATTTTTCCCATCAACCAATGGACTCCTGGGCAGCTGAGTATACCTGTCAAGCCAGGAGACAGGTAGCAGTTTTACCAGCAGGTTTCAGCTGATGTAACAGCCACAGCATGTGCATAACCTACTATAACAAGAGAAAGCCAGAAAACTACTCTTAAGGAACTGAGTAGAGATATGGTGCCTATGAAATGGTCACACACAAACACTGCACAGTTCCTTGCTTCATGATCAAGTTGCATTATCCCACTCCTAACTTAAGGTAGCCAAAAGGATTGACTCATTATAAACTAATATTTGCTTACAGAAGACAAACTCTCAAAAGGGAATGTTTTAAAGGAGGGGGTGAATGATTCAGAATATGAGGGTGAGAATTTACCAAAACACTGAAATAATACAGAAAATACATACACAGTTTACAATGTGGCTATTTACTTCTATTTCACAGTCTGGTCTTTGTTTTTCCTGTCCTTTTTGGGGGGTGGGGAGCAGAGTAGATTTTATGACTTCATTTTAGTTCTGCTATTACCTTATTACTATAGCTCTTCTTTCTGTTAAAGATTATTATAGGATATGCATTTTTAATTTATCACAGTCTATCTTCAAATAATGTTATGCCATGTCTGTATAGGATAAAAACTTTACAGCAGTAAAATTTTCCCTTCACTTAGCCCTTCCCTTCTTTCTTGACATTTTTGTCATATATTTTATTTCTACTTCACAACATACTACTAGTTTTGTTTTCTATAACCAATTTTTTAAAGAAATTAAAAGAAGATACAGAGTATTTTTTATTTCACTACATTTCTGTCCTTCTGGCACTATTCCAGTGTTGTGCAGATCCAAATTTCCATGTGTTTTTCCTATCATTTTTCTTCTATGTTTACAATTTTTGGTACTGTAGATTACTGGTAATGAATTCTCTCAGCTTTTTTTGCCTGAGAAAGGTCTGTATTTAACCTCCATTTTTAAAAGATATATTCACCAACAGAATTCTAAAGTGATTTTTTTTTTCTTTTTGGTTTTTTAAAGATATCTCTGCTGTATTCTGGCTTTTATAGTTTTTGATAATATTGATAATATTCATTACACACAATGTCTCTTTTCTCTCTCTGGCTATGTTTAAGATTTTATTTTTAAATAGCGTTAGCAATTTGATAGATGTACCTTCGTGTGTTTTTGTTTGTTCTGATTAAGGTTTACTGAGATACTTTGATCTCTACATTCATTTTTTCATCAAATAAGAACACAGTTTAATCATTATTTCTTCAAATATTTTTCTGCATCCTCTTCTCTTTTCTCCCTGAAATTCTGATTATACCTATATAAGACCATTTGATATCATCCCACAACTTACTGAATGCTATTTTCATAATTTTCTCCTTGGAACTTTATTTTAAACTAAATATGACTTCCAATTTACTAATTCTGAACTAATAGATGTTAATCTGGTTCATTTTTATGGTCAAATATTATATTTTTAATCTCTAAAGTTCAATTTGAGTCTTTCTTATTTTTAAGAGTACAGATCGCCTTTATTGGTTCCAACGGGAAGTGGAACAGAAGAGGGCATATGACAACTCCTTCTTACAGGAGGACATATCCAGAGACATTGTCACTGCCTTTCAGGAAAAAAAAAAAAGCTTCTACTTCTTTTCTCAACATATTTGTGTTTCTGTTATATCTCCTTGGCATATTTAAAAGATTAATAATAACTATTTTGAAAATTGCTTTTCCCCCTTGTTATGGATTATTCTTTTCCTGACTCTTTGCATGACTAGTGATTTCTGATTGCTAGCCATTATGTTCTACATTATGAAACTTGTTATATTCCTTTATGAATGGCAGATATTTTGCTGACATGCAGTTCAGTTATGTAGGATTAATATTCTTTCAATATAATCAATATGATTGCTTTTAAGCAGGTCTATTTTTTCTTTTTATTATTTTTTTGAGACAGAGCCTCAAGCTGTCGCCCTGGGTAGTAGAGTACTGTGACATCACAGCTCACAGCAACCTCCAACTCCTGGGCCCAAGCAATTCTTTTGCCTAAGCCTTCCAAGTAGCTGGACGTCATACGCCCGTCACAACACCTGGCCATTTTTTGGTTGTAGTTGTCACTGTTCCTTGGCAGGCCCAGGCTGGATTCAAACCTGCCAGCTCTGGTGTATGTGGCTGGCACCTTAGCTGCTTGAGCTAAGCCATGAGGTTTAAGTAGAAAAATATATATATATAATGCTAGCAGTGACCACATTTGGGTAACAGAGTTAAAAGGTATCTTTTATTTACAATGTCAATTTTCTGCTCCCATTCTCCTCACACTGAAGACAACTATCCAAAGATATATGGATGAAAAAGGCATCTGACCTTTTAAAATATCTAGTATTCCTTTCCAAAATGACCAGGAAAATATGGCTTTTCAGTCACACGAATCATATTCCATTCAAATATTTTGTAGATCACTTTACCCTTTCAATGATTCTTATTTGGTATAAGTAAAATAGGAAGTAACCTGAAACTGGGCACTGATGCTGGGAGGTTTCTTCTTCTTGTGCAAATGAAGAAGAGACTTGGTAATCCGGTCCTGTATGGTCAATCTTGTCAGATGTTTTAAAGAATTTACTTCTAGCAAGTGCTGAAATTAAAAGAAAAAATACATTGTTCACATAAACTTATCTAAAAGAAAAAAATACTCAGCCAGTTTTCATTGTTTCTTCTCTATATGACCATTTTCTATCTTACACGATTGTAATGAATGTGAAAGATTGAGAGCAAACATCCGTACTATCCTTCTACCTTCCTCTAGAACCTAGAAAGCTAGAAATTAAGCTGTACTTCCCAAAGTCTCTTGCTTCTGGAGTTCTGAATGTGATTAAAGTTCTTTAATTAAAAAAAAAAGTTCTTTAATCAAATGCCTACATGTGAACTGGGAAGGTATAACTGAGGCAGAGGCTCTAGCTACTATTTCTACTGACAAAAATGCATTTAATAAATACACTTTAGTTCTATATGGTCCAGCATCCAGGCACTAGTTTTATGAGTGTCCAGAGGCAGAGTGCTGAACAATTACATCATCACAACTATACTAAATCAGGCTTCATGATGAAGCAAATAGTTACAGCCTCTTCTGCAGTCTGGCTGGATATATACACCTCAGGAGGGACGGGCCTGGAAGTCACCTGCATGACAGCCTCCTGATTCCCAGCTTTCTGATTACAGCTAGGTTCAGTTCTCCACTATTGTTTAAATTCTAAAGACTTCTAATTATTTTATAACTACCAACTCTCTCATTAAGTCCCTTTCTACAGTAATTGCTGAATCCTGACTCATAGACACTAAATTAAATGCCAAAGCTATAAAAGGTACACCAATGACACACCGAAAACACAAGGCACAGTCCCCTGCCCCTGGGGGAGTCCCACATTTCCTAGTCCTTCTAGGGAAGTCCCTCATCCTGATATGCTCCCCTACAATCTAGTTAGGAAGAGTTAGACATCAAGTAACTAAAGTATATAAAACAAAAATAGCTATTAAAAGACGGCCAATAGAGCTTGTCTGCCCTTTTTACCACGTGAAGGAACTAACTGTAAGGAATGAGCCATCATTAAACCTCAAATCTGTTGGAAACTTAATTTTGGATTTCTGAGCATCCAGTACTCTGAGCAATAAATTTCTGTTGTTCATAAATTAATTAGTATATTTTGTTATAGTAGCCTGAACAAACTAAGACATTTCTCTTATTGTTAAGGAGTGTGAAATGGGCAATAAAAAATTTAATTCCCAAGACTTGAGCCTAAGTGATTGTAAAAATTTACTAAGGGAGCTACACACTAAAATCATTTAGGGCATGAATTTCGAGAGACAAGCAAGTTACCAAAGTAGAAATGTACAACACAACGATGCAAACATCACTAAAAACTGTAGTTTAAAAAATCAAGTCATGCTAAAAAGTAGATTTAAAGAAAGTGACAGTTTCAAGTTATAAGGGGGAAGAACTTCTAAGAGAGAAAAGGGAAGAGCTATCATCTTATAGAAAGATGAACTTGAGCCCATGAAAGCAGTCTTACAGTCTTCTCATTTCAAGTAGATGCTTGTCTGCAGCAAACTGGGTAACCTGTTATCCAAAGGGAGCAACTAGGTTAGGGTGACCAGATTTTAACATCAGTAAGGAGGGACAACATGGCCGGGGGACAGGGCGGGGGCGGGGACAGGGGACAGGGAAGGGCAGGGCCTGACAACAATGTAAACTTTGATAAGCCGTTCTCGATAATCACTTCTCAGCAATTATTTGTTATTATTACAGTTTAACATTATAAAATTAACAAAAATAATATAAAACTCATATTCTAAGGAAATAGCCACATGGCAGCCGAAAACTGTATATTTCCTTCTTGTTCTCCCGCCCGTTCGTGCATTCTTTCCAAAAATCGGGACTTTTTTAAAATGTCGTGGGACGCGGGACAAATTGTTCAAAAGTGGGATGTCTGATCACCCTAAACTAGGTGTCACTTCAAAGACTTATGTACAAACTAAATAGTGACTGTGCTCATGCCAAGGGTTTTGATGTAAAGGCTCCCCAGCAATGACAAAGATGTTGGAGAATTCTGACCTATCCTGAAAAATTCAGCCTTACTACCATATCCCTTCAGCCAACTCCTCCTCCAGCACTCATCCTTACCTAAGTCATCACTACATCTTAAAGAGAACTTACTCTGGGACTCAACTAGTGAGGTGAGGATGTTTGGTCTTCCACTATATACTAAAAAAAATTCCTCAGATTAGGGATCTGTTTTTCTCAACAAATGACTTCAACTGCATTATCAGATGCCTGAAATCTTCTTTTGGAGTCTCTGCAATTTGTGTGTTATCCTCACTTGCTTCTTCCACTTCATCAGCTGCTTCATGCACATTTATGCTGGTCTGTACTTTGTTCAGTATTACTTAGAAAACGGCTTCTGGGTCAGGTTCATTACAGGTTGCCACCTCATCTCCCTCACAGCAAAATCTACTCCCTTGAATTCTGCCATGGAAAAAGGACTGTCTGATGGGCCAAAACATCATGCTCTTGAGTTGTGACAAATCCAACTTTCTTGAAAACCCTTCTGTATTGCTTCTGGCTAAACTTTACTGAAGCAGAACTGATCCAGAGGACAGCATCCAGAACGTTAACTGATGCAGCAGATAAAGTTGCTTCCTCAGGCAAACACAGGTTTGTATTTAGTAATGACCAACTAAAGGAGCTGGGCTCAGCAGTGCATTTTAAATGTTTTGATGATGCCTGGGCCAAGAGATTGAATTTTTGAGGTTGTGTCTGAGGCAGAAATTTCAATGTCACATTTGTGAGATGATTCATTTGCAGGTGGCCAGAACAGCTGTCTACTTGTCGGTAGAACAGATCTTTTCTTCTTCCTCATTTCTCAGTCGATACCCTTTACCTACTCCTCAAATAGGGCACCAGTCATCCATGCACATTTGTTCGATCTCCAAGTGATGGGAGGTTTTGGGGCATAAGGTTCTTGAATAAATGTGGCTTTGCCAATTTACCAATCATCAAAGGCTTTAGTTTCTCTCTAGTTGAGATAGCACAAAGTTCTTTGGGAATTTCCCACTCTTACATTTGTCACCCATCATGATGAGGCTCCTGTCAGGCACTGCATTGAGAAAGAGTCCACACTCATCAGTGTTAAAGATGTAAGTCATCTTTGAAGGCTTTAAAAAGTCCAGAAATTTTTTTGATTAACTCTTCCCCAACTTCTACTGGAACTTCATTGGATTCACCAATGAAGTTTTTCTGGATCATCTTGTGCTGCAGTTTAAATTTCTTGAGCTAACCACTTAACACTTGAAAATCTGCCACCCATAATTCTTGTGCACATTTTTTACCAACTTCTTGGATCATCCACCCAGAGATTCAGGTGGTAACTGCCCTCATTGGTTTGAACCAGGTATAATATAGGGTCAGTCATTCACTTTAGCAAGGGAAGATTTCCTCCTTTTCTGCTCTAGGTTTCTGCTTTCCTTACACATCTCGCCAAGTATTTATGTTCATGTTTTTGGATGTTGCTAACTGCGGTCTTGCTAACACTAAAATGTTCTGCTGTCTTTCTGACTGCTGCTTTCCAGAAAACGCAGATGATCTTCACCTTTTCCTTCAATGTCAGGTCTTTGAGTTCCTTTCTTTAGGCCATCCCATCACAATTAATAGTAAATTTTTCAGTAATTCTAAGATGTGCATACAATTCAGACCAATCCTTCACATTGAAAAAAATCTTCCACAACACATGATGAACAATAGGACTGTAGATCTAAACCAGCACATGTTAATAATAAAACAACAAAAAAAAGAATTTACTAAGAAAAAAATAATACAGCCAAAGGGCAAAGTGCCCACACCTTCTAGCCTTTGGCATAGAGTGGATTCAATTGCTCAAAATACACAGAGTAAGTTAATATTGTATGTCACAGTCCAAGTGATCAAGATGTAACTTACAGAGGTAGTCAATATACTAGAGGTCAGTCTTCACTGAGTACATGTGGTACATGTCTAGTCTATGAAAATTAGGTTACTTTAAGGAAGTGATTGATGTAGAGAAATGGTCAACTATAGAAGTTCTACAGTATTTGCAAATTTTCCATGATTTGCCCTATTACTCATTCCATTATGGTGATAAAGATACTTGATAAGATTTTAGTAAGACTTGTTTTGTGACCTAGCAAATGATCGATCCTGAAGAAAGTCCCATACATGCTTGAAATGAATATATATATTTTGCTGCTGTATATTTGTTTGGCACATTTGGTCTATTATGCTGTGAAGTACTATTTCCTTATTTTCTGTGTGGTCTGCCCATTATTGAGAGTGAAGTATTAAAACCCACAGTACACTAAATTTTCTTTGGAGATATAAGCTGACTTAAGTAGAAGGAATAATAACATTCATTTTCCTATTTCTTGAACTAGAGAATCACTGAAAAATTAGTAACGGTATGTCAGCTCTTTGAATTTTTTGTTTTTTTATGAGATAGAGTCTCAAGCTGTCACCCTGGGTAGAGTGCCATGGCGTCATAGCTCACAGCAACCTCAAACTCTTGGGTGTAAGAGACTCTTGCCTCAGTCTCCCAAGTAGCTGGCACTACAGGTACCCACCACAACGCCCAGATATTTTTTGTTGTTGTTATTGCTGCACTTGTCACTGTTGTTTTAGCTGCCCTGGGCCGGGTTCGAACCTGCCAGCCTCAGCGTATGTGACCGGTGCCCTATCCACTGACCTATAGGCACTGCCAGCTCTTTTAAATTTCCTCTCCTTGTACCCCTCTGAAGAAGGAATCTTGTCACTTATAACCTTGTTAATGAACTTAATTTCAAAAATAAATTACAAATATTTACCTGAACAATTAGGCTTGCTCATTTCACAACAATGTTATTTCTAAAAGGGATTCAACTAAGTGCACATATTTAGTCACTATCTTGGATATAAATAAGGTATTTCTTCTCTTTGATTTATAAAGATCATTTGTATGAGTAATTAAAAAATTACATAGTAGGGCACTAATAAAAATAAAATGTTTTCATAATACTCACCTTTGGAAGGGCAGGCTTAGATTTGAAGTTCTTGTTTCTCCTAAAGAGATAAATCATCCATTTAAAAAAATATTATAGAGATGAATGATTTCAAGGTCTCTACCAAAACAACAGGCTATATACTCATTTCTAAGAAAGTAGGTCTTCTACATGAAAACACTACCTGACTCAACCAAGTAGGCACCTTTAGGAAGGAATGGGAAAGAAGAAAAAGAGGAGAAAGATGCTTACCCTGTAATATATTGAAGTTATAAGCCTGATGATCAGTAATATAATTTTGTACATTCTATAGTAATTCCATAATTATCAGTAACATAACTTTTTTAACATAATTTTGTACATTCTAAGATATAGGTACATTTTCTTGGGTGTTAAAGAGAGCTTTGCTTTCTTATATCTATAAAAGACTAATTTCTGTAATCTCAAGATTATAAATGAAATACCTCAATTTCACCTTTTTTTTTCCGGCAGTTTTGGCCAGGGCTGGGTTTGAACTCACCACCTCAGGTATATGGGGCCGTTGCCCTACTCCTTTGAGCCACAGGACCTGCCCCTCATCATTGTTTTTAAATGTACTTTCCACTGAAATATAATCTTCCATTTTTGGTAATTAAAAATTCTTCCCTTCCATTCAATCTTTCTCATCTACAAAACTCAACAGCATACTTGAGTCTTTTTTATTTTTAAATTTTTATGGCTTTAAAAAGACAGAACAAATCCCAATCCTTATGAGCATGGGCTAGAAAGTCAGAAAGACCCAGGCTAGAATCTAAAGTCTATTCCTACTAAGGTATGATTGTCTCTTTAATCCTTGGTTTCATTACATAATATGTAAAACAATAATAATAATAATACCACCTACCACTTAACAGTTGTCATGAGGATTAAACAAATTAATGTACATTGCTGGAATAAAGCAATACTTACAAAATTGAGCCTGTTAATATTATGGAGCAATGACTTAGGGATTAAGAAATACAATTCGATCACACCTCTAGTTCATGGTCAAAAAATATGCTTGGGAAGGGTAAGAAATATGTTAGTTAATAACTAAGCAAGGTTACATCTATATCCTCAAACCAGTTCCATGATTAATCAGAAATGGCAAGCTTGGATAAGTGTTATATAACAGTAACAGAAATAGAAACTACAGGTCTGGAAATACCTTTACAAAAAAAACTCAGCTAAGTTACCTAACTATAGTAGGGTAAGCAGGGGAACTTCTTGCCGATTTGTTGTGACTGCCAGAATTGAAAGATAACTGTAGTAAAAAGGAATCTTAAAAAGTGCTAAAACTTTTTTCTTTCCCCCAAAGTAGGGTGTACTGAAAAGCAATAAAGACTTAACTCCAGGGCAGCGCCTGTGGCAGTGCCAGTGGCTTAGTGGGTAGGGTGCCAGTCCCATATACTGAGGTGGTGGGTTCGAACCCAGACCTGGCCAAACTGCAACAAAAAAATAGCCAGGCGTTGTGGCAGGCACCTGTGGCCTCAGCTATTCAGGAGACTGAGGCAAGAGAATCGCCTAGGCCCAGAAGTTGGAGGTTGCTGTGAGCTGTGATGCCACAGCGCTCTACTGAGCATGATAAAGTGAGACTCTTTCTCTACTAAAACAATAAATAAATAAATAAATAAAAGACTTAACTCCATAATAAATATATTCAGCCTTGATTCTCTTGTTACTATGTGGGGTCAAAAATACCAGCTTTGTAATGCAGGAGTTCCACTACTCCAACTACTACCTGAATACTCTTACGTACTGCTTCAGTCAAAATTCAACTCACGAAAATAATGCTTTACTTTTTTTAGGCAGAAATTAGCCCTCTTCCTTTTTTTAGCCAGAAATTTTAAATTAGTCATAAAAAAGCAATCCACATCACTGATCAATACTGACGTGAGAATTCCATGAGCTCTCTCCAGGAGTTTGCTACTAGCTGAATTCGCAAATATCCCATCTTTATCAAGCAAGGAGGTGGTACTTGATAGTCTGCTTTGGCGAATCCCAGTTCTGCCATTCCAGGCAATATCAAATGTATCACTGTAAAAAATACAGTATCAATTTGCTTTAGTTAATTAAGACATCTCTAATTAACAATATCTTGCTTAAATAAAACTTTAGATATTTATGTTAAAATTTACAAAAAATGCTAAACCAGCAAAAATATGATTTTATCAGAGTGATTACCAATCAATTGGGACTAACCTTTTACTCATTTGGAACAAAATGTTTCAATGGATTTTGGCATATGCACATATAAATGTGCATAAAGATGGGCGTGCCAGGTAGCTGAAATTTTCAAATATGTTATTCAACAATCAATAAATAATGTATTTAAATGTAATATAATAGCTTTCTCTTTGTTAGATTTTAAAACTTGGAAATGCTATTGCAGAAATTTATAATCCTAATAGGTTATTCCATCATAGACATCTAACTTCCTCCCTTACACACCCAACAAAGTTATCAAGTTCCTATTATGGGATGAACACTATTAGATACCAGAGACATGAGAATGAACAAAATAGACAAAATTATCAGTGACTGTAACATAAGAGTTAATGGAGAGCTTTCCAGATAAAGATTGTACAGTCCATCAACAAATAAACAGATAAAGTAAATGTGGTATACAAGTGTATACACAGTGGAATATTTAGTCACAAAAAAGAAAATTCTGACATTTGTGATAATATGAACAAATCTGGAGGATCATTATGTTAAGTGAAATAAGCGACACATAGAAAGACAGATATCAAGATCCTACTTATACGTGAAATCTAAAAATGCTGATCTCATAGAAGTAGTAAACAAAACAGTGGTTACCAGAGACTGGGGTATGAGGGGAGGTGGTCAATAGGTACAAAGTTATAATTAAACAGTAGGAGTAAGTTCTGTTCTTCTATTACACAGTGGGGTGACTACAGTTAACATTAACAATACTGTACAGCTGCATACAGTAGCTTATGTCTGTAATCCTATCACTTCGGGAGGCAGGAGGATCACCTGAGGATAGGAGTTTCAAACCATGCTGGGCAACAGGAGGAGATCCCATGTATACAAAAAATTTAAAAATTAGCTGGGCAGGCTCAGCACCTATAGCTCAACCGGCTAAGGCGCCAGCCACATACACCTAAGGTGGCGGGTTCGAATCCCCAGCCCGGACCCGCCAAAACAACAATGACGGCTGCAACCAAAAAATAGCTGGGCGTTGTGGCGGGCGCCTGTGGTCCCAGCTACTTGGGAGGCGGAGGCAGGAGACTCGCTTGAGCCCAGGAGTTGGAGGTTGCTGTGAGCTGTAATGCTACGGCACTCTACACGGGGGGACAGCTTGAGGCTTTGTCTCAAAAAAAAAAAAAAAATTAGCTGGGCATGGGTGCACATGCTTATAGTCTCAACTAGTTGGGAGGCTGACAAAGGAGATCACTTCAGCACAGGAGTTTGAGGTTAAATGAGCTATGATCATATCACTATACTCTAGCCTAGTAAATAAATGCTATTATCTCAAAATATATACAAGAGAAAATGCTGAGTGTTTCTACTGCAAGAAAATGATAAATTCTTGAGGTGATAGATATGCAAATTTGGTCATTATACAGTATGTACATGTACTGCAAGATCCCACTATATCCCATAATATGTACAATACTTATGGGTCAAATAAATATTTTAAAAAGAAATAAATATCAGCATATTCACCTCTGTCTATATTTATACGAATGTTTATTATGTCCATTCATTGAACACTGATTCAACAAATGTCACAGAAACATTGTGCCTATTATTGATAAGCAGTTTTGAAAATCTTGTCTTTTCATTGTGTTGTACTAAACCATCAAAAATCAGTAAATACAGCTAGGCACAGTGGCTCATGTCTATAATCCTAGCGCTCTGGAAGGCCAAGGGGGGGCAGGATCACTTGAATTTAGGAGTTCGAGACCAGCCTGAGCAACAACAAGACCCTGCCTCTACTAAAAACAGAAAAACCAGATGGGCCTTGTGGTGGGCACCTGTAGTCCCAGATACTCAGGGAGCTGAGGAAGGAGGATCTCTTGAACTCATAAGTTTGAGATTGCTGTGAGCTAGGCTGACACCATGGCACTCTAACATGGGTGACAAAGTGAGACTGTTTAAAAAAAAAAACAGCCCCTAAAATAACATGTCATGCAAAGCGGAAGAAGAGTAAATATTGAATTTAAGGTAATTATGTACGCATTTACATTTTTCTCATTTAATAAAATGACTGGTTATAAAATGCAGAATGTGGCTCGGCGCCTATAGCTCAACCAGCTAAGGCGCCAGCCACGTACACCTAAGGTGGCGGGTTCAAATCCCCAGCCCGGACCTGCCAAACAACAATGACGGCTGCAACCAAAAAATAGCCCGGCGTTGTGGCAGGCGCCTGTGGTCCCAGCTACTTGGGAGGCGGAGGCAGGAGACTCGCTTGAGCCCAGGAGTTGGAGGTTGCTGTGAGCTGTGATGCCACGGTACTGTACCCAGGGGGACAGCTTGAGGCTCTGTCTCAAAAAAAAAAAAAATAAATAAAATGCAGAATGAGCGTCTGAGAAGGAATCTGTTCTTGGTAAAGATAATGTAAACATACTGAAATGAAAACAAAGGATTTAGAATATTACATAAATATAATTCATAAAGCAGCAGCTAACTCCAATTTTGAAAGTTTTACTGGCAATAAAATGCTATCAAGCAGCATTGCATGATACAGAAAAATCTTTCATGAAAAGGAGAGTCAATCGATTCAGCAAACTTCATCATCTTAAGAAATTGTCCCCGAGACCCCAAACATCAGCAGCCAACACACCCTAATCAGTCATTAAGGCGAGACCCACCACCAGCAAAAAAGATAACTCACTGAAGGCTCAGACACTGTTAGAGCATTTTTTAAATTAAGGTATATACACATAATACTATTGCATGGTTAATAGACTACAGTATTGATAATGTTTTTATGTTCTGGGAAACCAAAAAATTTGTGTAACTTGCTTTACTGAAATATCCACCTTATTGTGGGAGTCTAGAACTGAATCTACATTATCTCCAAGGTATGCCTATACAAATAACCACCTAGCACATGAAAAGATGCTGACCACCATTAGGTGTTAGGGAAATGCAAATAAAAACCACAGTAAAATAGGGCAGCGCCTGTGGCTCAAAGGAGTAGGGCGCTGCCCCCATATGCCAGAGGTGGTAGATTCAAACCCAGCCCTGGCCAAAAACTGCAAAAAAAAAAAAAAAAGAAGAAGAAGAAGAAAAACCACAATGAAATATACTTTACACTCACCAAGACAGCAATAATTTAAAAGACAGGCAATAACAAATCCTGCAAGGATATGGAGAAATAAGAGCCCATATCTGTTACTGATGGGAATGCAAATATTACAGCCACTTTGGAAAACAGTTTGGCAGTTTCTCAAAATGGTGAACATTAAGAGTTACCATGTGACCCAGAAATTTCATTCATAGGTATGTACCCCCAAGAATAGAAAACATGCCTACATAAAAACTTGTACATAACTGTTGACAGCAGCATTATTCACTCATAATGGCCAAAATCTAGAAACAATTTAAGTGTCTGTCAACTGAGAAATGAATAAACAAAATATGATTCAGCCATAGGCACATGGTACAACATGAATGATCCATAAAACACCATGCTAAGTGCAAGAAGCCTAACACAAAAGGCCATATTTTGTAAGATTATATTTATATAAAATTTCTGTAATAGGTAAAAAAATATAGACAAAAAGCAGATTCGTGGTTGCATACAGCTTGTCAAAGTAGGGAATGGGAAGAAATTAATGGATAGGAAGGGCTTTTTTAGTGTGATTAAAATTTTCTACATTAGATCATGGGATGGTTGCCCAACTCTATAAATATACCAAAACCCCACTGAATCACATAATTGAAATGGATGAAACTTTGTGGTATGTAAATTATATCTCAGCAAATCTGTTCATAACAAGGGCTTAGGAATCAGCAATGCTGGAACTAAAACACAACATGAGTATAATAATGGCTTCAAAATACTGTAGAAAAATTATTTCCAACCGAGAGTTCTATACATAGTGAAATTATTACACATGGGAGGGAAGAATAAACACGTTTAGCTATGCAAAAAAATCAAAACATTTTTCTTCCTATGTAAAGTTTTTCAGGGAGCTACTGGAGGATATATACTCTTTAAGAATAACAAAGTAGAACTAAAAGAGTAAGAAACAGAAAACAATTGATGCCAAACAGAATGCTAATACAGACTCCCAATATAAAGATGAAGAAATCTATCAATAGTTATCTGTGCAGTAAATCTACAGAATAAATCTTCCAGGTTGGTACAGATCAAAAAAATGCCAGGAGAGATTTCTATAAGATGAAATTCATTCAAGATGTATCTGCATGTGATCACAGACATTCTAACAATTGTGAAGAATAGCTTGCAAATGAACTAGTGATAGCCACAAAGAAAATTTCAGAAGAAAATCTAGATAAATACATGACTTGGGATAAGGGGAAAATTTCCTAAATAAGTTATAAAGTGGGGCAGTGCCCGTGGCTCAAAGGTAGGGCACCGGCCCCATGTACCAGAAGTGGCAGGTTCAAACCCAGCCCCAGCCAAAAGCTGCAAAAAAAAAAGTTATAAAGTGGACAAATCACAGAGAAAAAATGAATACATTTAATAATACTAAATATAAGAATTTTGTTCAAACTGTATCATTTTAAAAAATTAATATAAGCTACAAGTTGGGAGCAAATATTTGTAACCCAACTGAAATGACACTAGTAGACTTAATTATACTAAATATGAGAATCTTGGTTTAAACTGCACCAATTTAAAAAATGAATATAAGCTGTGAGTGGGGAGAAAATATTTGTAATACATAAAACACAAAATTTATAAAGAGCATTTAGGAAAAGAAATATGGATATATACTAGAACAACCATCTTGAAAAACAGTTTTAGATTATTTTATTAAACTAACATGAGCATTTTCTATTGAACTAGCAATTCTACAACTAAGTATGTATCC